CATATAATTATTATTACATTCTTAACGGCCCGTCAACACATAAAAGGTCATTAGGGCCATCAACCGGTAAGACACACAACGATCCAAAAGGAAATTACATTAAACAAAACTTTTTAAAAAAAATTAAAAAAACAACATTATGTTCCAGTATATGGTCTTCAAGATATAATTATTATTATTACATTCTTAACGGCCTGTCAACACAAAAAAGATCATTAGGGCCATCAAACGGTACAACACACAACGATCCAAAAGGAAATTACATTAAACAAACGAAAAGGTAAAAGACAAATGTAAAAAATCATAAATGGGTATTTCAACACAAAATATTAAAAAGCTACGTCATAATCTATTATATAGACCAACATCTTTCAGGTAATGTAGAATTTTACAAATCTCAACATCTTCAAAAAGGATTTTAGACATGCTATATTACGATAAAAACATTCCCGAGTAGACAGGTAAATGCGGTCCAATAAAAAATGTTTAACGGTGAATGGCGCATCACATCCTATGCACAAAGGATTATCTTCGCCTTTCAACATATATGAATGTGTATGGTATGTATGACCCATCCAAAGACGGGCAAGGACAACTTCGTCTCGGTGGTTGTCTCTATAGCCTGGAGACCATTCACCAATAACAGATTTAACGGAGTGTTAATGGTATAGGTATTCCATTCATCCTGCCGCGGAGCTTTCAAAATTTGTTTAATAAATGGTTTGAAATCGGTAAAATAAAGTTTAAAAACATGTGGTAGCGATAAAGCTTCCTTTGCGGCACGATCTGCTTTTCATTGCCTGGTATTCCCTTGTGCCCAGGAACCAAGCAAAAAGCAGTACGAAAGTTAAAAAAAATTTATGATATAATATAAAGGTATTACGAATGAAAATATTGTTGATATTACTATTGCTAAGAGTTTGTAGACCAGAAAGTGTCTGAATGGATAACAGCTCTCATTACTTCGTTTTTTAATATATTCAAGGGCGAGGTAGATAGTTCGCGCTTCTGCCGAGAATATTGAGGCATTGTTTGGTAGCCGGCATCCATAGGTTTTATCTTGTGTAACCATGGCCGTAGCAACCTTACCATTATCTTTTGAACCATCAATATATAAATGTAGGAATGTTTCATATTTTAACTGCAATTTCGAGAAGGATGAACGAAAAGTTTAACTGTCTATGTCTGATGTAACCATTTCATGAAGTGAAAAGTCAACTTCAGGTGAATTCATGAGCCAGGATGGAATTTCTATCCTTCCAAATGACTGAATTTGGTCAACATCAATTTTTGTGTTTTGTAAAAGAGCGGAAATTCGAATACCAAATGATGAAATAGTTTTTGTTTTGCCTTGAAACAAGGTTTTGTATTTTGGATCAAATACAGGGGAAAATCAGGATTTGACTATAGCCGAATGGTCTATTGCAACGCCAGTTTTTTTCGACGGCTATATCATGATGGTTAGTTCGCCTCTATATAGAGGCTTGCTGTAGGTGTGGTCTTAAAAGCTCCGAGAGCGAGCCTGAGACTTTGGTGATGAACAGTGTCTAATAATTTTAAATATGAAGGTCTAACAGATCCATACACAATGGAACCGTTGTCTAGTTTTGATCTAATCAGGGCTCTATAGAGTCTTAGCAATACTTTTCTCCCAAATCAATGTGGCATACTAACTTAGAATATTCAGTGCCTTAAGGTATTTTATATGTGGAAGGAACGGCAATTTCCTGTCGAATATTACACCTGAGACTTTCGTTTGCTCAACAACCAGAATAGGTTCACCACAGAGAAACAGATTTGGATCGTCGTGTTGTTTCCGAATTTGACAAAAATGCATACAAACTGTTTTTGATTGTGAAAATTTAAAACCATTTTCATGCCCAAATTTGTAGTCGATTCAAACATTGTTGAAGTTGTCTTTCGATGGTATTCATATGCCTGAATCGATAGCATATGATGAAGTCAACGACATAAAGAGCGCCCTCCATTGATAATGTTTTGAGTGTAACCGAAAGAATGCTGCCTTGTGGTACACCCATTTCCTGCTGATGAACATCGGAAAGGGTAGTTCAATTCCGGACTTGAAAAACTCTATCTGATAGAAATTTTGAAATAAAAATTGTTAGATTACCTTAAATACCTATAGCGTGCAGATCTTTCATTATGACGTAGTTCCACGTTATGTCGTAAGCCCTTTCCAAATCGAAGAAAACAGCAACCAAGTGTTCCTTCTTTAGAAAAGCCTCACGCACAAAAGTTTCAAGTCTAGCCAAAGGATCGTTGGTACCTCACTTAGATCTAAAATCGCTTTGTAGGGGTGATATGCGATTGGATTCCAGATACAAAATTAATCTTGAATTTATCATCCGCTCGAGAGTTTTACAAACGCGACTCGTAAGTGATATTGGGCGGTAACTGGAGAGATCTGTTGTATCTTTACCCTGTTTGGGGATAGGAATCACAGTTGCCATTTTCCATGACTTTGGGACATTTCCCGTTCTACAAATATAGTTACAAATATCTAGAACTTTTACTAATGATGACTCTGATAGAGAATATCATCGGGTCCTGTTGCAGAGTCATGTGATTTTACCAACGATTCTCGAAGTTCTAACATTGAGAAAAGTTGATTGTAAGTTCCATTGTTTTCGGAAGAGAATTTCAATTTAGTTTTTTTCACGCGCATCCCCTGCGGATAGGGGTTAGAATATGTCCGCCGTATCCTACTGCATGTGGTAAAAGTCCACTAAAAGGGGCAATCTGTCTGCCGTGGGTTGTATCCCGTTAGTACTGGGAGAAAGGATCCTGATGGTTGAGGGGCGGTTATGTGGTTTGCTCCAAAAAAGAAAAGATCTTCCACCAAGAGATTGCTGTCCTGACCCCCGAGCTGTCGAAACCTCTTGTAGGATTAGCGTATCATAGTTACCTGTCATCAGCGACTAAGTGTTAGGTTATATATTTTATTACCAGTGTTACTTTCCCTAGGATTGATATCTCTTCCCCTGTGATCTCTTGAACTTTAGTGTGCGATATTCTGTGTTTTTCGATCAATTTACAGTATTTACGATAAATCAGCAGGCCGAGGACAGATAAGACAGCAGAGGTCCCAAGAAGTCCAGCAGAAGGATAAGTACACCTCAAATTTTCGTAAATTTTCTGATAGTCATTGTATGTCGTCAGGTTAATCTAGTATATTCGCGTCGGGACCCAATAACAAGTAGTATATTGGCCTGTATAGTTTTTTTTATTTAGATAGGTGTGGCACCTTGATTAAATGATTTAACATTTGAAAAGATAATAGTTTCTTTGGTTTAATACTGTCCATGGCAGTTGTAACTATTGTTAATTAGCATTATCGCGTCGTGTCGCTAGATCACGTGACCATCACTTTCGGTTTATATGTATTTTGCATTGCGGCCCGTGCTAGGCATATTGCGTATGGTTATGCAATGTGTGTATTTGTGTGTGGTGTTATGTGATGTGTTGTATTCTTTTTCGGACTGACCACTCCGGACACATGCGCGCTGTCCCGTCTTCCTGTCCTTTCCCGCTTTTCTGTCTTTCTTTTCACTTGGGCAGCAGATTTCAAAGAGGTTGGACGTTATTTGAAATACAAGTATACATCTCCAGCACCACATGCAGGGTAAGTTGCCGTGAACTATTTGTAAATGATCATTACTATTGCTTTACAAGTTCAGTTTTTCGTATTTTACACATTCACGTATATTAACTCTTACTTCAGATGTCCAGTGGTTCGCATTATGTATTGTGTGAGAGTTGTGTTTTGTTTATGAACGGATTCTGGCCAGGGTTGTGTTGTCTGTGCGGTCGTATGGTGATATTGAATGGGTAATGCGATGGTTGAGTGCACGTGTGTGAGGGTGGATTGATCGCTGTGTATGTATATATACCTTTTGTCTGTTAACAATGTATTTGCCGCTGCTGGGGCTCATATGCTGTCACTTGTTTTGTCCATGCTGCTCGTGCCGTCTGCTTATAACTATTTCCGTTGCTGTCCTGAAGTGTCACCGAAGCCGATTGGCTGTCTCTCATTTTGTCTGTGATTGGCTGCCGTGTTTACTATAAATGTAAAAGTAGTGAGTTCATTGTACTTACGCCCTGTTAAATCATGGTGTCTGTCATGTGTTGTCAGAGTTCTGTTACGTCGCCGCCATGTTTGTTTACTAGGGATATTCCAGTTTGGGGATTCCCTTGCACTTTTATTATTTAGACGGCTCTGATTGGTTAATATTTTAGGCACTTGTCACCACACCTGTACATTACTATACCTACTCAGGTGACAGGTCTCACGTGTAATTCGTGGCATATTATTAAATTTAGCTATATAGCAGAGTGTTCGGGTGGTATTAGTCAGTCTGGCAGTAGCTTTCATGTAGCTGGTCAGCTCTCTCTCTCCCTAGAAAGGTATGTAGGACTCTTTCGGCCTTAGACCTCTAAATTACTCTGGGTTGGGTGGTATTTTCCCCTAGCAGGCAGTTTTTAGTGGTTTATAACACTATGTATGATTTATGACAGTATTTTATACCTCGGGTTGGATGGTATTTTACCTTAGAAGGCAGTTGCTTAAAGTTATTATTATGTTCTGTTAGGGTTTACGGTAGTGTTACATATCCCAGGGTTGGGCAACTGGGTGGCAGTTTTTTATGATAGTAAGAATTTACTGGTAGTGTAACCAAGTAAAGTCATAGCCGTCGTCGGAGCCGGTGTATCTTGTTCATCATTGTAAATATCTCCATGTTTATTTGTCTGTTGTAACTAATAAAGTCTAACTTTTATTCCTGTCTTCGAGTTATTGGTCTGTAGCCATGGAATAATAAGACAGAACCACAGAGAAGACGAACTAGAAAATATTCCACTATACGATCACTCTGTCAGAAGTACCTGTGTACTGTGACGAATTTAATACTTATACACTGGTGCCGTGAACCAACTCTGTGTAATCTGTTCTTTGATTTTGTGTGATATTTATCACTGTTATAATGGCTACAGGTCAGTCCAGACACTCAACTATCACTGTTGAAACTGAACAGGCTAACACTAGTCGTAGGTCCTCACGTCGGTCATTACGTAGTCCCAAACCCACTTATAATGTCAGTTTTTCACAAGATGCGGATGAACATGATGATAGGATACCTCCTATTCAAAACAGTACAGATTTAGAATTACACAGACACACTCCAGTAACAACAGGTGCCCGTGTTGACCATTCCAATCCACACCCGCGTACACGCGACATTCCGCACGCGTCTACAAGGTCAGGGTCAAACGATGTGTATTCAGCTGTTGAGGGGTCGTCTCAAAACCAATTTTATTCACATCCTGTAGATATTGAGACTGACGTGGTTGATATGGAGAGTGAATTTAACACTAGTACTCCACCTAGCATTCTTAGCAGTACTCCACACCCTAGTCAGACCCATGAGCATAAACAATGCTGCCGGTCTCATATTCCTAGTTTTAATTTTTCTGATGTAGCTAGTACAGATACCAGTAAAATAAAACAGGAAACAAAAAGAACCCCAGACTTTTGATGGTACCACAGATTTCAAGGAATACACCATTCACTTTGAGCAAGTAGCTGAATGGAATAATTGGTCTTCTGAGGAAAAAGCTCAACAATTAATAATGTCCTTAAGGGGGTCAGCTCAAAGGGTATTATCCGATTTAACACTTGGACACTCTAAAGACTATGAAAAAGTGAAATCTTTTCTCATTGGGAGATTTGATCCCCCGGGTAGAGACATTGCCTATGGGTGTCAATTAAAGTGCAGGAGTCGGAGAGATACTGAATCGCTGGTAGACTATGGACAGGAACTTCGCAGGCTAGCAGCTTTAGCTTTTCCTGATTTGGTTGGTAGTGCCAGAGAAATTACTGTTATTGACCAATTCATTATGGGAATAGGCAGTTTTGAGCTAAGGAAACATGTACAATTTAAACACCCTACAACTTTAGAAGCGGCAATCACAGCAGCTATTGAATTTGAAGCCTTTGAAAATGAACAAGTTACCATACGCAAACCTAAGACATATATAGAAACAGATCAGGCCCATGTACATGCATTTAGGGATAGTGAGCCCCAGGGTTCCCATGAGCATGAAAGAGATTTAGCCTCTCTGTTGCTGGAGGGATTTGAAAAGCTAGGCAAACAATTAGCTCAAACAAGGGGAGATAACCCAAGATACAAAAGGTGTTACAAATGTGGAGAGATAGGACACATAAAGAGAAATTGTCAAAAAGAGGTAGAGCCCAACTCAACTGTTCCAAAAAACATGGAGAGGTCAAGCGTGGGCTCGACCGTTTGACAGATTGTACGGGAATCAATGACGAGTCAAAACATAATTTCTCCAAAGGGCTTAAAACTAAGATTAGCATAAATTCTTTTGTCTCCGATTGCCTTTTTCTAGATGGTTCTGTAATGGGTAGAACTTCCAGATATTTAATAGATTCTGGGTCTTCAGTTACAATCTTTACTACTGAAATGTATTTTTTACTTCCTGAAGACAGACGGCCAAAATTAAATCCTGTTAATATCATGTTGTTCTCTGCTTCTGGTAATGAGCTACAAGTACAGGGTAAAGCAGTGTTTAAAATGAAAATCGGTCGTTTAGTTTATGAGCCATTGTAGCTAAGTTGGATAAATTAAATGGCATCCTTGGTATAGATTTCCTCTCTAAGCATGGTGGTGAGATTAATTTCTTAGACAAAACCATTAAATTGGCGGGACAGAAAGTAGATTTAGCCACTGACGGTTATACTGGTTGTGCTCGCATAAGAGTTAAAGATACAGTAAAAATACCCCCAAATTCTGAGTTCCTACTCAAGGCCTATGTAGATGGAGTTCTACAGGATTCAGGTGTAAGAGAAACTCAGGGTTTGGTAGAGCCCACAGCTTACGTAATCATCCAGGGATTGTTAATGGCTAAGACCCTTGTGGACCCTTGTAACCAAGAGATAACTCTCTCTGTACTCAACTTGGGACAAAAAGGGGTTGGTCTCAGTGAAAACACAATTGTAGGAAAATTAAACTCCGTAGGTGCAGTTCATACCATTGGCAGTAGGGCAGACACTAATCAGCAGCTCCCAGAACACTTGGTCAACTTGGTAGAAAATGTTTCACCTAAACTCTCTCTATACCAAAAACAAAATGTCAGAAATTTAGTTTCAGAATACCAGGACATTTTTATGAGCCCCGATGGGAAGTTAGGTCAGACAAGTGTAGTTGAACATGAAATAGACACAGGTGGTCAAATACCTATCAAACTACCAGCTAGGCGCTTGTCTCCCGCACAAAAAGAAACTGTTGAGATAGAGTTAGACAATTAAGGGGTCTGTTAACACTATTCCGTTACGTCACAGCACTACAGCATAAGCTGAGTTATTATTGACAGGTCTCAACAGGTATATCACGGCTTTTATTAAACTTATTTCGATAATGAAGTAAACAAATTTATTAAAATTTGAAACTTTATAAAATATTTATTTCTTCAAAATGAGACTATAATTTAGAAATATACCTTAAAATTACTTAGCATTAACGAAGAGTAGAAAATATCCTAATCTTATAATTGGTTAGAATTTGCTGCAAACTTGTACTACAAGTTTTGGAACAAGACATGGCAGGTAAAAGTCAATTGAGATGTCCCGTCAAAATATCAAAATTACAAGAGTGTTTTTATACCTATTTAGTTCAACGCTGTGAGCGGTATTAATTTGTATAAATCAAAGAAAGTGGTAGTCATCTATATGTAGTTAGGTGTTGACACCTCTGGATGTCTCAATAGGCTATAATTACGTTAGGCATTATTTTAGGCTTTACGTTTACCTAGGATTTAACGTAGAGCGACTTATGACATGTAAGGGGCGCTTGTCATGCGCAGTATATTAGTTCTTGATACCTGACCAGATACGTAACTTTTTATTGGCTAAAGTATCGTACATCTTAATTTGATTGGTCAATCAAACAGCTCACCATTTTGGGGTATATTAGAGTTTCCAGGGTAGAGCTGCGTCACTCTGAATGCAGCACTCCAGAATAAAGACTATTGGAAACTTTAAAGAAATCTCTTTTATACTTCAGGTGAGTCAAGTTTACTTGTGATATTTTTCTAGCAAAATCATATATTTCTTATTATGAAGTCTCAAGTCGAAATAGATTGTAGTCTACTTATGCAGTATGTTTATGTAAATAATTATTGATTTTTTAAAAAATTATAATAATGTAAATAATTATTGATTTTTGAGTTATTGTAAATGTTTTATTATCAAGAAAGTCAAATTTAAAATTGTATTTTTAATTTGATTATTCCGTTTCTATTCCCATATATAATTTCTAACATTTTTATCTCACTCTATTCGGAAATCTCGATCATGTCCGGAATTGGTTTTAATTTTATATGTACTTCTTTTACTTCCGGATCAATTGCCGCGACTATAAGAAAACATACAAATGTGTTATTTTTTTTACAACTCAAGAAATACTCGTTTTGAATTATAAGGGAGTATATGATTCGAAATAATGTTTTAGTTACTATCAATCATTACTACACAGTTGTTCGCCCGAGAACGAGCCACTGGCTGGTGATCGTGTAAACTTTGTATTAGCCTAAGGGTCGCATGCAAAACGATCCTAGATCTATGTTCGATATCATCTAAGCGTTATGCATTTATGTATGTACATTTATTAGCATTTTAGGTATATTCGAAATTGTAATTTAAAGTGTATATTTTATTGCGTCACTCTGAACGCAGCACTCCAGAATAAAGACTATTGGAAACTTTAAAGAAATCTCTTTTATACTTCAGTCTTCAAAATTCCCGTACAAAACCCGGTCACAGGTACGCTGACACAGGTCATCTGGTCAGTTAAATTAGTTATGTAAAGTTAAATCTTATTGGTCAGTTACGAAGATGTTAGCTTAATTGATCTGTAAAATTTAGTTTGATTGGTTAAGGACAAATCAGAGAATTCTTTACTTATAGTGTCCACGGCGTTCCTTGTTACTTTCGAACAAGACGCCATCGAATAAAGACCGATTTGGACACTTAAGAATTCTCTTCGTCGTTTTAAGGTAAAAACAGCTTTGTATCTTTTCTAATCATTTTGATATATAAAGTTTTACTTTTTTTTTCTTTCTTACGGGAAGTTGTAAGGATATTCACTTTTGTTTATTTTTGCAAAAGCTTGTGTAAGCCTGTAAATATGTTTTGTAGTATAAAGTTCAATTGATAACTTTTGGACTTTTATCATTCGTTTTACAATTTGTTTTAATTTTAATATTTTTGTATTTAATCATTTGTTCTATGATTTTTCATCAAAGATGTTTATTAGCTGAAAGTGTAAATTTATCTGACAAAAATACAAATATACTTTTTTCTAACTAATAAGTAGCGATTCACGTTAATTCACATTTTTATTTTAGTTTCAATTATATGAATTGTCCTAGATCATTTTCATTCCGGATAGTTTCGGCCAGTTTTGTATTTCACATTAATAATTGTACTTTCCGGAAAACGTATCTATCCGCCTCTCTAAGTGTAATTACACACTTCATCTCCATATCCGGGAGAAAGTTTTGGCTGCTAGATTTAGGAGAAAAGGACTGAAATCATGTTATCAGGGAGTATTTCTTTTCATGAATCACAGATTATATATATATTTTGTGTTGCGATTTATACAGATATTTTGTTGATCATGACTGGAGAACATGTATATTGAAACTCTGTTTATTAAGTTATTTTTCGTGTATGTGGTTCACCATTACCGTAGTTATCATAAAAATGTTTTGGCATGGAAATATTATAGTCGTTATGTATTTTTATATAGTTAATTCAAAGAATGTTCTTGTAAAGTAAATCGTATGTAATTTCATAATTCTCATGTTAATTTTGGCTAAAGACAAATTGTATAATATCTTAGTTAATGTCTAAATTTTAATTGTATTTTAATATTGCACGATGTATTATCATATGTTGTGACTTTCGAACAAGACGCCATCGAATAAAGACCGATTTGGACACTTAAGAATTCTCTTCGTCGTTTTAAGTTTGTTGCAGAATCTAGTACTACGTGACCACGTTAGCCCAACATCATCACTAGCTAATTCCCTGGGTAATAACAGCGTCACATTGTGTCCAGGGCGAAGCCAAGTAGCTGACCCTTTGTATGTTAAATGTCCCAGCGGCGGCCGTAGGTAAGGGCCTCGTCCTGTCTGCACTTGTTAAATGTTTTCCCTCACGTAATAACCTACTTAATATTTTCTTTGGGAGTTGTTTATTTATTTACATGGGACCACAAATGGAACCCCTGATTAGAACCTGGGTTTAATCTATATGAGGAACGGGGAAATAACTCTATATGAGGAACGGGGAAATTACTCCTACAATGGTAAAGTAATAGTGTAGTGTTTTCGATAACGTTTTGTAAAAGTAGTTTTATGTGCTCGTATTGTATACCCGTGTTTTTAGGGATTTCTTTGTGCTGATAATAAATTTGATCCATATACCAGTTAACCAACGAGTCAGTCGTTATTCAAAATGAATCATAATTCCACAATGGCGCCCATGTAGGGACCCGGGAATAGTACTTAGCCATGCCCCATCAGCATCGCTGTAACCCCTGGAAACTTGAGGACGAGTTATTTCCTGGAGGGGGAGTATGTAACCCTGATAAAACACTAGCTGCAATATACCACTCAGCTAGAGAGAACTTCTCTTTAGCTCGATTGGTTAAGCGTCAGACTAGTAAACCAGGGGTTTAGGGTTCGATTCCTAGTGGAGGCATTGAGATGGAAAATGACTTCTGTCACATAGGTGTTAGGTTAAAGGTGTTTTAAAGTAGTATTATAGACACAAAAATACTTCCGGTTTGATGGACGAATGGTGGACACGTATTCGAGTTACTCCCAGGTAAATCGGTCTGCATTCTTTGGATACCGGATATTTTGTTAGTGAATTTTTGTATTTGACTTTTTGAAAAGTCAACCTTTACTATGTAATACATATTTTTGAACATTTTCCACCTGTTTGGTGCTTTTTGCTCATGGAAATGGCGCCATCGGGTGGTGAGGTGGCAGTTAAAAATGTCAATGGTGGCAGGAAAAAGTTTGAAGAAAGAAGGTCCTTTTTGAAAGACAATACAGTAATTGTTGATGTGAAGGGTAACTCTGCAGTCAGGGCTAGTAGCCTTATAACCGAAATTAGTGAGCTCTGTGGTGAGGAGGCCCTTTTGGCCTGTGAACCTAAATCCGGAAATCTATATGAAGTAACGTTGGATGGTAGGGCTCCAACCAACATACTTATTGGAGGGATCACAATTGACGGTAATGTATATGATTGTCGTGAAGCTGAGCATACATATCGGATGATGAAATCATTTCTTCCAAGATGAGTGAATTACGTGTGGAACTGGTGTCCCCTATCGGAACTTGTTATGTCAAGGTCAGGCTTCTCCGCATTTAACATCTTTGCCATATAGTATGAAATTTGGATCTGACTATTACCGTGTAATTCACGACAATCAAACAAAAGTTTGTTCGTTGTGCTATTCAGACGAACATATGTTCAATGACTGCCAACAGTTTGTCTGCTACAAGTGTGGTAGAGAAGGTCACTATGCACGCACGTGCCGTGCACCACCGTGTAATAGATGTGGGTTTCGCGGTGGGTGCGAGTGCACCGATGAACCCCGGTCACAGGTAATGTCACTGTGTGAGGAATGCGGTCAATTTGGCTGCGCGTGCAAAGGTGAACAGGTGAACAGATGTATAGACTGCGATAAGATCAACTGTGTTTGCGTGACGGAGCGTGAAGAGGACGGTAGTAAACAAGAGGTCCAAGGTACCTGTGACGATATTAATGAGGAAACGACTGAGCCCAGATTTGTTAAAAATGGTGTCGTGTCGAAGGACGAAATGGATGAGAAGGATGATGACGATGATGATGACATATCTACTGAGAGTGATAATTCTATATTGAGGGAAGGATGCTTGGAAGGAAGACTGTGGGGAAATGGTGATGACTGGTAGGAGGGGGAAAGCGAGGACGATGAGAAACTTCATAAGGCTCGTGATTTCTATAAACACAAAGTTAATCCTGGAAATATTCATAAAAGAAGTAAGAGGAATAAAGGTAGTGAATTCAAAAAATTGAAAAAAGCTGTTGAGGAATTAAAATCAACATGTTGATTATATGTACAGTTCTAATGATTAATATTGTTTCTTTTAATGCCAATGGCTTGAGGGATGTTGATAAATTGAAACATGTTTTTGAAAATTTTCAAGAATGTCGGTCTGATATTATTTTTCTCCAGGAGACTTTTTGGAGTA